CGGCCTAAATCCCGTCCCGAATTCCCTCTTTCCATTTCCCTCTTTCTCTCCTCTCTTCCCCTCCTCCATCTCCTTCCTTTCATTCCTCACTCCTTCCCCCTCCTCCCTTTCTACTCCCTCCCCCTCCACTCCTCCAACTCCCTCTATTCACTTCCATCTCCCCCCCCCCTTTCCCTTCCACTCCTCACTCCTTTCCATTCCCTCCCCCTCCTCCTCTTCCACTCCCTCCTTTACCTCTCCCCCCCTTCCACTCCCTCCCCCTCCTCTTTCTCTACTCCCTCCTCCTTTTCCACTCCCTCCCCCTTATCCACTCCCTCCCCCCCCACTCCCCCCACTCAAACCGCCGGCACAAACACCCCTCCTCCTTTTCCACTCCCTCCCCCTTATCCACTCCCTTCCCCCCCACTCCCCCCTTTCAAACCGCCGGCACAAACCCCCCTCCTCCTTTTCCACTCCCTCCCCCTTATCCACTCCCTCCCCCCCCACTCCCGCCTCTCAAACCGCCGGCACAAACCCCCCCCCGAACTCCGCCGCAATCTCCTCGAAGAGCGGCGCCCACTCGGAGTCCTGGCGGAAGAAGACGGCCGGATAACCGAGGGGCGTGGCCACCTCCACCTGGGCGGGTCCTGACACGATAAGCCCCTCCCACAAGTGCTGCCACGAGGCTCCTCCTCCGCCGGGGAGGTACACCGTCTGGGAGTCCTGTTTGGGGGGGGAAGGGGAAGAGGGAGTGAGATAGGGAGGGGGAGGGGGAGGGAGTGAGAAGGGGAGAAGGGGTGGAGATGGGTGAGAAAGGGAGAGGGGTAAGGAGGGGAGGGGGAGGGGGTGAGAAAGGGAGGGAGAGGGGTGAGGAGGGGAGGGGGAGGGGGTGAGAAAGGGAGGGGGAAGGGAGTGAGAAGGGGAGGGGGAGGGGTGAGAAAGGGAGGGGGAGGGAGTGAGAAGGGGAGGGGGAGGGGGTGAGAAAGGGAGAGGGGTGAGGAGGGGAGGGGGAGGGGGTGAGAAAGGGAGGGGGAAGGGAGTGAGAAGGGGAGGGGGAGGGGTGAGAAAGGGAGGGGGAGGGGGTGAGAAAGGGAGGGGGAGGGGGTGAGAAAGGGAAGGGGAAGGGAGTGAGAAAGGGAGGGGGAGGGAGTGAGAAAGGGAAGGGGAAGGGAGTGAGAAAGGGAGGGAGAAGGGAGTGAGAAAGGGAAGGAGAGATGGATGAGAAAGGGAGGAAATGAGAGAGAAAGGGAGAGGGAAGGGGGTGAGAAAGGGAAGGAGAGATGGATGAGAAAGGGAGGGGGAGGGCGGAATTGGGATAAGGAGAAGGGAAGGGGAAGAGGATAAGAGAAGGGAGTTGGTGAAATAGGGGAGGGGAAGGTGAAGGGAAGAGGAGGGGGTTGGGGGTAAGGAAAAAGGAAGAAGGGTGGGGTAGGAGGCAGGAGGAGGGAAAAGGGAATCAGGGATAAAGACGGAAGAGAATTGGGGTAAAAGGAAAGGTGGGGGGGGGGTAAGAAAAGGAGGGGAATGAGGCAAGAGATAGGGGGGGGAGGGGCAATGTGGAAGGGAGGGGTGAAAGGGAAAGGGGAATGGAGGGGAGAGGGTCAGAGGAAGAAAAGGAAGAAGGAGAAGAGAGGAGAGAAAGGGGGAAATGGAGGAAGTGATGAGAAGAGGGGAAAGAGAATGGAAAACGGAAAAGGGAAACAGAACATTGCGAAAGAAGAAGGAAAAAAAGAGAGTTAGATCAAATAAAAAGGACAGAGCAAGAGAAACGGCGGGGAAGAGAGGAGAGAGAGAAAGGGAGGAAAGAGAAGAAGAGATAAAAGAGTAAATGAGGAGGGAAGAAGAGGAGAGGGGAAAAGAGGGAAGGAAAGGGGAGATAAGAAGAAGGCAGCGGAGATCGCGAAAAGGGAGAAAGGGAAATGGGGAAATGCCTATTAGTTAAGGCAATGACAATGCTATTTATATACATAGTGATCATACATTTCCCATTTTATGACAGAGAATGAATTTCACGACAATTCGCGACATGAAAAAAATTATATAACAATGCTAATTGTTATCATAGACAAAACGTCATATACAACAAGATTATCACATGTCTTACCTCCTTACCAGAAACAGTAAACTCTATACAATTCCATCAATGAATATCGCATATTACTAATCTATCACTTACTATATCTCATATGATAAATACCCTAAATCAATTATGCAATTTCTGTACCATTAACGAGTAACCTATTTCGTAAATAAAATTCCCGTCTTATCAACGAATACCTTTAATTGACAATAAATCTCCTATACTATCAATAAATATCATACATCCTTAGGTATTATCTTCTTAATAAGTATTCTACATTCTCAAAACCTATCCTATATGACCAACAAATACCCTATATTTTCAACAAATACCCTACCTCCCCAATAGATACCCTATATTTACCATAGATACCCTAAATTCTCAGCAGATTCTCTATATATCTATATCAGATATCAAATTCTCTATATATCTATATCAAAT